AGCATGGGCTGCCTGGCTTGAGGCGGGCAATAGCAAACCATTGAACACCCGGAAGTACCCTCCCACCGTCGGAGACAATGCGTGACGCTCGTGCTCTACGCCAATCGAGCTGTGAGCTTTTAACCTATAGACCTGTTGTTTCCCATGGCTAGGTTTTACGGGAAGAGGGCCATCGACCACTTGCTAACCTCCGAAGAGGATGGACTAGGATACTGGCAAAGCGCCCACACCTGACAGGAGAACGGGTCGGGTCCTCAGGTAAAGCCTTCGATTAAATGAACACCGGAAAGGCAGCGGGTCTAGCACATGGTCAGTTCACTGACTCATGCGGATTGGACTCCTGGATCTTAGCAGGTAGTAGGGCGAAACCCAAAGCCCACCCAGCGGTCGCCACGTAGAGGCGCCCAGGACATGAGACTATGGCGCAGCAGTAGCAGCAGTGGTAGATCATTTGTCATGATCTAGCCACCAGCAGCCTCCTCGAACCATTGGCTCTCTCGCCGTATATATATATATATATATATATATATATATATATATATATATATATATATATATATATATATATATATATATATATATATATAAATGTTTGGCGGCATCCGGGTTCGGATTTGCCTGTCACTGTGGCAAGCCACAGGACGCCTGCGCCTACAGAGGAACCATGGATGGCTTGCGCTGCACCACCCACAGCTCCAACCACACACCCCATATCCAGTGTAAACCCGAAGGAATAAGACCGGGAGGCATGCGGATGGGAAGCACGTTTCATCAACGGAGCCGGCCCACACTCCTTCATAGGCAAACACAAGCACACTGTATTTGGGAAATCAAGCGCATACAAGGCGGTGGCTGGACCTTAGTCCGCTCCACACTGAGTGCATGGAACCGCTCTTTGAGCCTAGCTCGGCCACAAGAACCGTGCACCCCGTCCCCTCCAGCAACGACCAACTGTCTCCTGGTGGCAGTTTGGACGAGATGGTGAGTAATAGACAGGTAGGCACCTTCTCAACATGCACATCAAGCGCAGCCACACCGGGGATATCAAACAACAGCAAATCACTTGAGGGAGAAAGGGAGAGAGAAAAAGAGGAGAGTAAAACTTGATTATTGCAAAAGGAAACGGTGACATAAATCTTAAATTAATGAGCATATATAATAAGTTGTTTACAAACAAATCCTAGCTAAGTGCACGAGGTCAGAAAGTATAGTTCACGGAATGCCACGACCACAAAAATGGAAATCGAATGCCATTGGCTTAGGCGATGTGTGCAAGTTAATGGAATAGAGTACAGGGAGATATTTATATGAAAATGAAAAGCATTAAGGTAAAATTGCAAACCCACCACCTGAAATAAAGAGACTTAGCATGCAAGCACGCGGTTAGTAAATCGAATCGAATTCAGCGTGCCTACAAACGCTGCGCCGGCTCGCCGTAATTCTCTGCAGGACCCTTCGTCGCTTCTGTAGTGGCCCAAAAGGGCCTAGCTCATAACCCACTAGACATTTATATGAGTAAGAAAGGCATTAGGACAGAGCCGAAAACCAACCACCCGAGGCTGATGTTGCATTCTTGATGCTTCTTCACCGCAGTTGGGCTAAACCAACTTACACCTAAACTAGGTCTTTTTAAGCTGGCTAAATTTCATTCCGCTTTATTTGGTTTGTTCTGCCTCCCTGAATAATGTTCTATTAACTGGCCAGTTTGCTTACACTAATTGCGCTTATCCCCGGTAATTTTGTTGCGTTTGTCGCATTTTAAGTAACTTGTGGAAATTTTTTCTTTATCACGGATTTGTTGCTAACCAAATTACTTCATATGGTAATTTAGCGAAGAGTTATGCCACCGTATCTGTATGCATTATTGGATTTATTTTATTTCAGCTTGTCGTTTAAAGTGAATGGCTGTTGTTTGATATCCCTGGTATGGTTGCGCATGATGTGTATGTTGACAAAGTGCCTACCTGTCTTTTACCCACTACCTCGTCCATACTGGCTCCAGGAGACAGTTGGTCGTTGCTGGAGGGGACGAGATGCACGGTCCTTGTAGCCGTGCTAGGCTCAAAGAGTGGTTCCATGCAGTCAGTGTGGAGCGGACTACGGTCCAGCCACCGCCTTGTGTGCGCTTGCTATCTCAAATACAGTGTGCTTGTGTTTGCCTGTGAAGGAGTGTGTGCCGGCTCCGTTGATGAAACGTGGTTCCCATCCGCATGCCTCCCGGTCTTATTCCTTCGTGTTTACGCTGGATATGAGGTGTGTGGTTGGAGCTGTGGGTGGTGCAGCGCAAGCCATCCATGGTCCCTCTGTAGGCGCAGGCGTCCTGTGGCTTGCCACAGTGACAGGCAAATCCGAAAGCGGATGCCGCCAACCATGTATGTATGCATGTATGTACTCCATCGATATCGAGCGCATGGTGCTGTAAAACATGCGGTCGCGAGTGCCTTAGTCAGGCAGGCCTAGTGAACCATGAGAGACGTCACTCGGGACCACTGCCGAAGCGACGACGGGTCCCGCAGTGAACGTAGGCAGCTCCGGCGCAGCGTTTGTAGGCAAGCTGAATTCGATTTACTAACCGCATGCTTGCATGCTAAGTCTCTTCATTTCAGGTGGTGGGTTTTCGGTTCTCTCCTAATTCCTTTCTTTCTCATATAAACGTCTAGTGGGCCATTAGCTAGGCCCTTTGGGGCCACTACAGAAGCGACGAAGGGTCCTGCAGAGAATTGCGGCGAGCTGGCGCAGCGTTTGTAGGCACGCTGAATTCGATTTACTAACCGCGTGCTTGCATGCTGAGTCTCTTTATTTCAGGTGGTGGGTTTACAGTTTTTACTTTAATGCTTTTCTTTCTCATATAAATATCTCCCTGTACTCTATTCCATTAACTTGCACACATCGCCTAAGCCAATTGTATTCGATTTCCATAACATTTTTGTGTTCGTGGCATTCCGTGCACTATACTTCCTGACCTCGTGCACTTAGCTAGGATTTGTTTGTAAACAACTTATTACATATGCTATTTAATTAAGGTTTATATCACCGTTTCCCTAGACATTAATCGAGTATTTCTCTTTTTGTTTTTATTTTTTTCTTTCTCTCTCTCTCTCTCTCAAGTGTTTGGCTGTTGTTTGATATCCCCGGTGTGGCTGCGCTTGATGTGGATGTTGACAAGGTGCCTACCTGTCTATTACCCACTACCTCGTCCATACTGGCTCCAGGAGACAGTTGGTCGTTGCTGGAGGGGACGGGGTCCACGGTCCGTGTGGCTGTGTTAGGCTCGAAGGGTGGTTCCATGCATTCAGTGTGGAGCGGACTACGGTCCAGCCACTGCATTGTGTGCACTTGATTCCCAAATACAGTGTGCTTGTGTTTGCCTGTGAAGGAGTGTGGGCCGGCTCCGTTGATGAAACGTGGTTCCCATCCGCATGCCTCCCGGTCTTATTCCTTCGGGTTTACACTGGATATGGGGTGTGTGGTTGGAGCTGTGGGTGGTGCAGCGCAAGCCATCCATGGTCCCTCTGTAGGCGCAGGCGTCCTGTGGCTTGCCACAGTGACAGGCAAATCCGAAACCGGATGCCGCTAACCATGTATTGTGGCTGGCGGGAGGGCCTATGGTGCGCTGAGGCTGGTAGTGGCTAGATCCTGACAGATGGTCTACCCACTCCTGCTACTGTTGCGCCATAGTCTCATGTCCTGGGCGCCTCTACGTGGCGACCGCTGGGTGGGCTTTGGGTTTCGCCCTACTACCTGCTAAGATCCAGGAGTCCAATCCGCATGAGTCAGTGAACTGACCATGTGCTAGACCCGCTGCCTTTCCGGTGTTCATTTAATCGAAGGCTTTACCTGAGGACCCGACCCGTTCTCCTGTCAGGTGTGGGCGCTTTGCCAGTATCCTAGTCCATCCTCTTCGGAGGTTAGCAAGTGGTCGATGGCCCTCTTCCCGTAAAACCTAGCCATGGGAAACACCAGGTCTATAGGTTAAAAGCTCACAGCTCGATTGGCGTAGAGTACGAGCGTCACGCATTGTCTCCGACGGTGGGAGGGTACTTCCGGGTATTCAATGATTTGCTATTGCCCGCCTCAAGCCAGGCAGCCCATGCTCAAATTGGTGAAAACCCGCCAAAACCCACCCGCTTCTGGAGGTGATCGCAGGAGTATCCTACTACGATCGCAAAACATATATGAATCGTTCCAGTACTTCAAAGGCTGCGTGTGACGGCCGTCAAGCAGATCCCAATCTGTCTCTGCAATCACATTCCCGAGCTGGATCTGCTCCCCACTGCCTTGTCGGTCAGGCTATTGAGCCAAATGCTCCGGGTGGAGTCCCTCCAGCAAACCTCCAATTTATCCACTACCTTGTGTGTCAGGTTATTGAGCCAAAGGCTCCGGGTGGAGTCCCTCATGCAAACCTCCAATTTATCCACTGCCTTGTGGATCAGGCTATTGAGCCAAATCTCCGGGTGGAGTCCCTTAAGCAAACCTCCGAAGCACAACGAGCACCTCGCGTGCGATTGCCCACCAATGCAATCGTATGCCTACGCGCAACGCACTCAGCATCGGGTGCTGGAACGTGCGCACACTACTGGACCGGAACTCCAGCGAGCGCCCGGAGCGACGCACTGCACTGGTCGCGATGGAGCTGGCGCGTTACCACATCGATATTGCGGCGCTCAGTGAAACCCGGTTCGCTGAGCAAGGTAAGTTGCATAAAGCAGGTGCTGGCTACACATTCTACTGGGTGGGCAACGCCGCCTCAGCACCACGTAAACATGGGGTCGGATTTGCAATATCCGCTCGCCTCCATGGCCAGTTGGTGGGTGAACCAACGGGCATCGGCGCGCGACTGATGACTGTTCGCCTACGACTCGGAAGAGGTAAGTTTGCTACTTTTATAAGCACGTACGGTCCGACCATGTGTTATGCTGATGCCACGCGTGATCAGTTCTACACTGAGCTATCCTCCGTGATACGGTCTGTGCCGAATAGCGGACGACTATTTCTGCTGGGTGATTTCAACGCGCGCGTTGGGCGTGATGCATCGGTGTGGACAGATGTTATCGGTTCGCATGGCATTGGTTCAGCGAATGCGAACGGTGACAGGCTGCTCTCACTGTGTGCCACTCGGCCTGACGATCACGAACACTCGGTTTGCACTGAGTGCGAGTGATATAGCAACTTGGACGCACCCACGGAGTGGTCACGCTCACCTGCTCGACTATGTCATCGTACGTCAGCGTGATATGCGTGAAGTGCGCATGACACGTGTACTGCGTGGAGCTGAGTGTGGTACTGGTCACGAGTTGGTGCGTACCAAACTGTACATATATTTTCGTAAATCGATGTATTGCACTCCCGCCGAGAATCGGCGTAAATTTAACATTCTCTCCCTCGGTACTGGAGCGAAACGTACTGAGCTGGAGAAGGCGATGGCTGCACGCCTGTGTGATGTGGACTGCATAGCCACAGTGGGCGACCTGTGGCACCATATTCGCGACCAGGTGACAGCTGCTGCCGAGGAGACCATCGGGCGCGCAAACTGTAAGCGGCCTGATTGGCTTGATGACAACAATGTGACGATTGGCGCATTGGTGTCGGAGAAGAATGCAGCATTTGCTGCACATGTGGCAGACCCCAGTGACTTGGGGAAGAGTAGTCAGTTTCGCAAACTTCGACGGCGACTGACCCGAGAGCTCCGTCGCATTAAAAATGCATGGTGGACGGAGAACGCGAAGCAGATAGAATGCTACGCCGAACGCCGCCAACACAAGGAATTCTTTGACTCCTTGAAGGCAGTGTATGGACCGAGATTGGAGCCGCTGAGGACACTGATCGATGTTAGTTCAGGCGGTACCTGCACTCAGACTACTGACATGATGCAGGTCTGGCGGAAACACTTTGACTGTCTCTTGAACAACCGTTCAGAGATCGACTGGCCTACATTGAACGGCCTCAAGCAGCACGATGTGAAGACGTGTCTAGCGGACACGCCGACATTGGATGAGACGCAGAGAGCACTTGTTCAGCTGCGAAACGGCAAATGTGCCGGAGGTGACGGGATCCCGCCTGAAGTATTGAAACACGGCGGACCCGCGTTGGTGACTGCGCCACACCACTTGGTGCAACGCGTGTGGATTGAGGAGGAGGTGCCTGCTGAGCTGAAGGATGCCCTTGTGCTACCACTGTACAAGGGCAAAGGTAGCAAGCAATGTTGCACGAATTATCGTGGCATCAACTTGCTGTGTTGTGTGGGTAAGGTGGTTGCCCGAATCCTGCTCAACCGCTCCCTCAGTCAGGTTGTGGAACCTAACGTGGCGGAAGAGCAATGTGGATACCGTTCGGGTCGCAGCACTATAGATATGGTGTTTGCGGCTCGTCAGCTGCAAGAGAAGTGCAGAGAACGACACCTGCCATTGTACTCGCTTTTTGTTGATTTCACCAAGGCATTTGATACGATGAACCGCGAGGCATTGTGGCTGGTGTTGGGTAAGTTTGGTTGCCCGCGTAAGTTTGTAAGTTTAATTGAATGTCTGCACAGTGGTATGCGAGGGAGGATGCAGCTGAGTGGAGAGACCTCGGATGACTTTGCAATTGTCTCTGGTGTGAAGCAAGGCTGTGTCTTAGCTCCTGCCCTGTTTAATATATATCTTCATGCATGATGTCTTGTGCTTTTGATGCGGCTTGTGCTTACGGTGTGCGTTTGGAGCACCGTATTGATGGTGGGTTGCTGAACATCCGTCGTTTCGGTGCGAGAACTCTACTCTGTGAGACAACTAACCGTATGTTGCTGTTTGCTGACGACTGTGCGTTGTTCTCAAACAGCGCGGATGAGTTGCAGCACATGACTAGTGCTCTGGCTTCGACAGCCGCCAAATTCGGGCTCACTATCAACACAAGCAAAACTGTCTGTCTCTTCCAGCAGGTACAATCTTCAATATTGCCGTGAATCAGCATAGGCGCTTAAGGAATGGAAACCACCTCCCGCTTCTGCTACCTTGGGAGTGTGATGTCGACTGATCAGCAGCTACACGTTGAGTTGCGTATTCGCGTGTCGAAGGCAGCGGCGGCATTCGGGAAACTTGAGTACCGAGTGTGGAACAACCATCAGCTTAGCATTGGCACGAAGCTGATGGTGTACAAATCCATGGTACTGTCCGTTCTTCTATACAGCAGTGAAACGTGGACGATGTACCGTCGGGATGTGCGATATCTCGAGCGGTTCCATCAGCAGTGTCTGCGACGAATTTTGCGGATCGGCTGGGGCGACAGAGTTGCAGACACGGAAGTGTTGCGCCGAAGTGGGATGTATGCAGTGGATGGCATACTTTTACTGCGGCACCTGAGGTGGCTCGGTCGCGTGAGCCGTATGGATTCGGCGCGGATACCGAAACAACTTTTATACGGTCAGCTGAGTAAAGGGAAGCGGCATGTAGGGAAACCGAAGTTACGTTACCAGGACATGATTATAGTGAGCCTCACACGTTCTAATCTTGATTGCAGATCATGGGAATCGAAGGCGGTTGATCGTGGTGCATGGCGCGATCTAATCACAAAGGCAGTTGCTGAAGTGCGAGAGAAAGCCCTCATGCATGAAGCGAAGAAGCGGCAAGCACCAATGAATTGTACTCCATCGACATCGAGCGCATGGTTCTGTAGAACATGCGGTCGCGAGTGCCTTATTCAGGCAGGCCTAGTGAGCCATGTGAGAGGTCACTCGGGACCACTACTGAAGCGACGACGGGTCCCGCAGTGAACGTAGGCAGCTCCGGCGCAGCGTTTGTAGGCACGCTGAATTCAATCTACTAACCGCGTGCTTGCATGCTAAGTCTCTTCATTTCAGGTGGTGGGTTTTCGGTTCTCTCCTTATTCCTTTCTTTCTCATATGAATGTCTGGTGGGTCATGAGCTAGGCCCTTTGGGGCCACTACAGAAGCGACGAAGGGTCCTGCAGAGAATTGCGGCGAGCTGACGCAGCGTTTGTAGGCACGCTGAATTCAATCTACTAACCGCGTGCTTGCATGCTAAGTCTCTTTATTTCAGGTGGTGGGTTTACAGTTTTTACTTTAATGCTTTTCTTTCTCAAATAAATATCTCCATGTACTCTATTCCATTAACTTGCACACATCGCCTAAGCCAATTGTATTCGATTTCCATAACATTTTTGTGTTCGTGGCATTCCGTGCACTATACTTCCTGACCTCGTGCACTTAGCTAGGATTTGTTTGTAAACAACTTATTACATATGCTATTTAATTAAGGTTTATATCACCGTTTCCTTATGCATTTATCGAGTTTTTCTCTTTTTCTTTCTCTCTCTCTCTCAAGTATTTGGCTGTTGTTTGATATCCCCGGTGTGGCTGCGCTTGATGTGGATGTTGACAAGGTGCCTACCTGTCTATTACCCACTACCTCGTCCATACTGGCTCCAGGAGACAGTTGGTCGTTGCTGGAGGGGACGGGGTCCACGGTCCGTGTGGCTGTGTTAGGCTCGAAGGGTGGTTCCATGCATTCAGTGTGGAGCGGACTACGGTCCAGCCACTGCATTGTGTGCACTTGATTCCCAAATACAGCGTGCTTGTGTTTGCCTGTGAAGGAGTGTGGGCCGGCTCCGTTGATGAAACGTGGTTCCCATCCGCATGCCTCCCGGTCTTATTCCTTCGGGTTTACACTGGATATGGGGTGTGTGGTTGGAGCTGTGGGTGGTGCAGCGCAAGCCATCCATGGTCCCTCTGTAGGCGCAGGCGTCCTGTGGCTTGCCACAGTGACAGGCAAATCCGACAGCGGATGCTGCCAACCATGTATGTAGACTAAGGCTGCGGCTGATGTTGCATTCTTGATGCTTCTTCACCGCAGTTGGGCTAAACCAACTTACACCTAAACTAGGTCTTTTTAGGCTGGCTAAATTTCATTCCACGTTATTTGGTTTCTTCTGCCTACCTGAATTATCTTCTATTAACTGGCCACGTTGCTTACACTAATTGCGCTTATCTTCGGTAACTTTGTTGCGTTTGTAGCATTTTTGAGTAACTTGTGGACATTCTTTTTCCTTATCGCGGATTCATTGCTAACCAGCTTACTACATATGCTAATTTAGCGAAGAGTTATGACACCGTATCTGTATGCATTATTGGATTTATTTTATTTGATTTTGTCGTTTCAAGTGATTGACTGTTGCTTGATGTCCCCGATATGGCTGCGCTTGATGTGCATGTTGACAAGGTGCCTACCTGTCTTTTACCCGCTACCTCGTCCCTACTGGCTCCAGGAGACAGTTGGTCGTTGCTGGAGGGGACGGGGTGCACGGTCCTTGTGGCCGTGCTAGGCTCAAAGAGTGGTTCCATGCATTCAGTGTGGAGCGGACTACGGTCCAGCCACTGCATTGTGTGCACTTGATTCCCAAATACAGTGTGCTTTTGTTCGCCTGTGAAGGAGTGTGTGCCGGCTCCGTTGATGAAACGTGGCTCCCATCCACATGCCTCCCGGTCTTATTCCTTCGTGTTTACGCTGGATATGGGGTGTGTGGTTGGAGCTGTGGGTGGTGCAGCGCAAGCCATCCATGGTCCCTCTGTAGGCGCAGGCGTCCTGTGGCTTGCCACAGTGACAGGCAATTCCAAAACCGGATGCCGCCAATCTTGTATGGTGGCCTAGTGAGCCATGAGAGACGTCACTCGGGACCACTGCCGAAGCGACGACGGGTCCCGCAGTGAACGTAGGCAGCACCGGCGCAGCGTTTGTAGGCACGCTGAATTCGATTTAATAACCGCGTGCTTGCATTCTCAGTCTCTCTCTCTCTCTCTCTCTCTCTCTCTCTCTCTCTATATATATATATATATATATATATATATATATATATATATATATATATATACGTATATATACGCGGTTTGATCGTCAGTGACTTCATTTCCCGCTGCTTAGTCAACTTCTGTCGACCTCGAACCTTACGCCACCCTACACCTGGTAGACTTAACAAGGACCTCCTCTGTAAGCGTTCACCAGACATGCGTAGCACGTGCCCGAGCTAACACAACTTATTCAGTGCTATCTGTTGTTCTAGGGTAATAGCATGTTAATCCCTACCTAGTACTCGTCTGCGCACATCATCGTTGCGGACAGGCTGGTGCCATCCGACACCAACAATGCTTGGCGGACAAAGATGGTCAAAGACTTGAAGGCGCCTCAGATCTTCAGACCGTAGGGGCCAAGTCTCACTACCATACAGTAGAATGGCCGTCGCTGTAGCCTTGTATACACGGCCTTTCAGACGAAGGGAAACTCCCTTCTGTCGCCAAAGATGCCGCAGGTTCAAGATAGCAGTACTGGCCTTTGCAATGTGTGAGCTGAAGTCAGTTTTTATGCGCCCATCGTTGCTGATGCGACTGCCAACATAAGTGAATTGACCAACCACTTCGAGCTCCTCATTAGCACGGGTCAAGGGATCATTAAGTGGCTAGTGGTCCTGCAGCAACACTTTGCACTTTGAAGGTGCGAAGTGCATACCAAATAATGTGACCACTCTGGACAGACTGTTCAGGGTTGATTGTACGGCCGCAGCATCGTCGAAAAGCAGGACGATATCGTCCGCATAATCAAGATCCACTAATCCTTTCTCATGCGGGATCTCAACGCCTACATTGTGAGATTCCCCAAGGGAACACACCATGATAGAATCCACGACGAAATTGAACAGAAATGGGGAAATCGGACAACCCTGACGAACGCCACTTGTAGTCGGAAAGCTATCCCATAGGCCACTGTAGACCCTGACGCGGCCTGTAGTGTTCGAGTATAGAGCACGAAAGATGTTCACATATTTCGTGAGAACAGCTTTCCGCGCAAGTATTTCGAAAATAATCGATCGATCGACTGAATCGAACGCACTATTAAAATCGAGTAGCACAGCTATTGTCGGTCTGTAATATGTGTGGCGCTGCTCTAGCACCTGCCGCAAAGTGAATATATGGTCTATACAGCCACCTCTTGGGCGTAAACCTGCCTGTTCTTTTCTAATCCGGGATTCCCGCTCCGCAGTTAGACGACGAACAATAATCGAGGCCAATAATTTTGTCACAACTGGCGTTAAGCTAATACCCCTGTAGTTAGAACACTCTGCGACTGTCCTTCTTGTATATGCCACTATAATCGATTCGCTCCAGTTAGCCGGGACACTCTCTTCCTTCCAGATATGTTCGTATAGAGAGGTCAGTGCTTTGCAGACGACTTCACCTCCATCCTTAAATAGTGCAGGTGGGAGGGAATCCGGGCCAGCGGCGCGAATACGGTTGGGGGTTGTGATCGCGTTTCGGACCTCGGCCTCCGACGGAGGCTCTAAACTAACCGTCCATGGCTCGTCCTGCATCACCTGAGTAAGAAAAGGTCGGCATACTTTAGTAGGGTCGCTTTTTCAGGTACTGGTATTGAGCCGATGTAAGAAGAAAAGAGAAAAGACGACAGAATTGCTCCCTGAAGTACACCGGCGTTGGTACTCAATGGGGGATCCTCTGCCACTGATTAGGATAATCTTAGTACGTCCAGCAAAATAGTCACTCGACAGATGGACGATGGAGGGATGTATTTTTCAAATGAGTGGATCTTCTGACAGCGACTCGTGGTTTTCTCAACCGAATGCGTTGCTGTAGTCAGGAAAACACTCAATGTGAATATGTTTCTCTTCTCATGCGATGACGATGATGAGGCAGACCACTACATCTAGAATAGACCTCAAAGTACGATTGGTGACCTGGAGGGGGTCGTTCGAACGCGTTTGCGACAGCACCATTTCAAGAAAGAATTTCTCTAGTACGTTTAAGTCATCATGAATACAAGCAATTGGTCGATATTTGATGGAATCTTTTTGTGGCACTTGTGTGTAGACTGATACTACTCCAGCAGTCAGGGATTTTTCGTTGTTGCTTTCACATGGTGTATAGAGATGCGAGAGGCGTTGCCTGTAAATTGCCCGATTCTTTGAGATAGTTTGTGCAAAGTATTTGCCTTACAGGAACCTAGGTGCCTCAGTAACGTATTAGCAGTTGCCTTGTCGATATTAATCGATAAGACGACAGACCCTAGAACTTGAGGGAAAGGAAGGGTCCGGAGCCATAATAGTACCGTAGTTACAAAACTCCTGGTTTTATTTCTCTACATCCACATCAAAACTGGACGCACGTCGAGTAACTCCGCTAAGCTGTTTCCGCATTTTCCAGAGTTGGCGACAGCTACCGTTCCTAAGTGTAAACCGGACATACACATGTTTAAAATGGCAAAGCTCCTAGTTTATACGAACAGTGAGAGACCTCTTTGAGATGTCGCCTTTTTCTTTAAACGCTTTTTATTTGTATGTGTTATTTTTCGCACGCACTTTTTTTCTTTTTCAATTGTTAGGCACTGAGCATCTGAATCTAAACAAATATGTACGCATATCTTCCACTGGTACACTTTCCCCTTGATTCAGCGCAGCTGCTTCAGGTAGAGGGGCGAGATGTCCGCGCGGACATAGAGTTTCCAAAGCACATCAGATATTAAAACAAGAAGTTAGATAGCTTGCCAAAGTGTCACAATATTTGGATGTGTCACGGTCAAAGAATAAACTAAATTCTGTGGATGCAACCATTTCACGAAGTTGATCAATATTTTGTGGAGAGCACTACCTCTCCCTAAACCTTCTATCGTTGCAGCGAGTGATGTCTTGATGGTTTGTCGTGCTACAGATATCAAGAGTAATCTTGGTTGTTGAGTGATTTGAACTGCCACTCGGAGCCCGATTGCATACGGAGGGCAGTTTCACATAATTAACGAACATCAAGTCCAGGGTCGCGTCTGATCTAGTGGACGAATTCATTCTGTTCCGTACTCCGAGAGTGGTGAGAAAATTAGAACCAAATCTATTGTAATCTCAGGCGATTACACATATAGGAAAGTCTGTGTTCTATAACAGCTGCTTTACATTCCTCGTAAAATGTCTGCCTTACGTTTGGGACAGGTAGGAGATATATAGATGTTAGCCAACGATATTGAGCGTTAGCCACTCAAACGCAGCTTGCATTGTTCGAATAAACGGTTGAAATAGAAGATGCGTCTTGTTCTATTGCACCAAGGTTGATTGGTGTTAATAAGCGCATGACGGTCAACCCGTGGACAAATATGTTTACCTACGGTTACGACAATGTCAGCCACTTCATCTTGGATCCAGATTTCTTGCAGCATAAGAATACCTAGCTTCGAAAATTCTCTTGAACGGACTGTGCATGATCGTTCATCTAATTTTCCAAGGAGCGACCGGATCTTTGCGCTAATCAATGCTGGCACGCTCAGCTCTTTTCTTTTTTTGATGAGCGACCCTTCATTCAGCCCGATGTTTTCTTGCAGAATTGCTACGCTTATGAATTCTTTTCCATTTCTTTCTTATAACGCTTCCGTTGGAAAATGCATAATTCACAAGTGTGGAAACACATAGGGGTTTCAAAATCCTGCGCTAATGAATTAGCATCGTAGAACGAGGAGTGAATAAAGGCAAGAACGGCTCCATAACAATTATTAAGTGTGAACGTGTGTATTGGTTCCTTTCACAGACAGGAATAGTAGAGTACAGCCAAATTTGAAGGCCACGTCGGATTGTCTTTGTTCTACGTTTGCTAAAGAACGGGGTGCCGGAGAAATATACCACCATCCTACGGGCCCTTTACCTTCATACATCCGGCGGAGCGAAGGTCTATGGCAAACTTTCCTCGCAATTCGCTGTCAATAGCAGTGTGCGACAGGGCTGCCCTATGTCCCTATTCCTCTTCAACTTCGCAATCGAAGACGTTCTGTCGAATGCTCTAGAAGGTTTCCAACATTTTGGCCTAGAGCTTCTGCCGGGTGAGCGCGCGACAGACTTAGATTATGCTGATGATATCGCCTTACTTGCTGACGATCCTCAGAGTATGCAACTCATTCTGGATCGCTTGGCGGTTGAAGCATCTACGTATGGCATGAGCTTCGCCCCATCGAAGTGTAAACTACTGCTCAAGGATTGATTTTCATCTGCTCCCGTGCTCACTCTCGTAGGTGTACAACTTGAACAGGTAGGCAGTTTCGTCTACCTTGGGAGCTGTGTTTCTGCTAACGGCACTATCAACAAAGAACTTTCTCTTCGCATCGCTAAAGCTCGATCGGCATTTGTCAATCTGAGGCACTTGTGGCGTCGTTTTGACGTCTCATTCTCACTAAAGGGCCGCGTTTACAGCGCATCAGTTTGCTCAGTATTGTTGTATGGGAGCGAGTCCTGGCCGATTCGCGTGGAAGACATGCGTCGTCTTTCTGCGTTCGATAACGGTTGCTTAAGGAGGATCGCTCGTGTTTGGTGGCAACATCGAGTTAATAGCAATGGCGTTCGACGTCGCATCTTGGGGAATGCGAGTATTCCCTTCAACAAACTGGTTTTGTTGCGCCAGTTGAGATGGCTCGGTCACGTCCTGCGCATGGCACCTGAGCGTTTACCGCATCGCGCTCTATTTGCTCGTCAAAGACTTGGCTGGAGGCGACCGCGTGGTGGTCAGCCTTCCACTTGGCGGCAGCACATGAAATCGCTGACGTCGTGTCTAGCCGCTATTGGATCCGTACGTCTTCCAGAATGGGGACCCAAAGATGAGTGCCAATGGCTTAGCACTCTTGAAGATATGGCCTGCAACCGGAATCAGTGGAAGAATTGTGTACAGTATTGTATTGATTCACATGTTTAATACTACAAACATTGAAAATGATAAAAAAAGAGAAAAATCGGCGTGTGAAAAACAACCTACAGATGTTTTGTTCTACTTTTTATCAAAATGTTCCATTCTTCCTGCTGAAGTGTGTTGCTCACCTTCAACTACCATGCCACGATGATTATGACGCGATGGCGGTCCCTTATCCGCTGATCTCCATGGTTTTATGTTGGCTCTTTGTCTAGTTGATAGACTGCTGAGATTACTACTACAAAATTGTTTATATTGTTTTGCCAGCTTCAGTTTCAGTGGCTTGAAAGTGAGTGGCATCAGCAAGGCCCCGATACGTCGTGCCGACCCCTCGTTGCCACGCGACGATCACCAGTCGCACCCAGATTAAGGATACTACCAGACTGCGCGCATCTACGCAGTGTTGATAGGCCACAACCATTTTTCGCCTTTTGTAATCATCCTACCTACATTAAGCGCCTTTTCGAATTTCTTTCTATTTCGGACAGCGAGGTTTTCTAAATGGCAAACTCAGCATGGTACCTTGATGGTGTGACTCTTTCTACGGAATCTTTACGTGCCCTGGAAGACCTCAAATTTACCTCACCCCTTCCGGTTCAAGTATGTTTCATTTTCCTTTCATGCTCTCTCTTAGAAAGCTGCCATCCCTCTACTTCTAAGCTCCAAGGACGTCGCCGTTGAGGCCGTTACAGGCTCCGGTAAGACCATCGCCTTCTTGATTCCTATCTTGGAAATCCTCAAAAGAAGAAACGCCACCTGGAAATCACACGAAGTTACCTCTATTCTCTCTACTTTATTCATTACAGATTGGTGGACTCATCGTTGCACCAACTTCTGAACTGGTTTTACAGATATATGATGTTCTCTTAAAGCTTTTACCGCACTATGTGGATCATTCGGGGTGAGTCGGTGCTGTGTTACGAGCATGCATTGTGTGATTCAGCAGTGCTTGAAGGACGAGCTTTATGTCTGATTATAGACTCCCTATAGACATGTTGGTTGGGTTTATCACCTATGTTTAACTTTGGTTTGCTATTGGAAACAGAACATGGAAATCTCATGTTGCAATGTAGGGTGCTTTATGAGTCAGTTTTCTGTCTCACGGGGTTGGCGGGATCCCAGCGACTCCGTTACGTTCGCAATGGAACCTACAGAACACGACTGGTGGGAATGTGTTTTCTACTTTCTCAAACATTCTACGTTAGAGAGGAGTAATAAGGAGAGTTGAATGGTATAGGTAGAAATTCCTCACATTTAGACTCACTCAGTTAGCCAACACACGCCTGGAAAAGCGCTGTACGCTCGTTTTATCTTTCTGGAATCGTCAGCATTGCGCATTCCATCGGACCCCTGGTAAGACTTAAACCGGCAACTTGACTGTTGCCACTCCACGGTTGAGACCACTGACCTACGGGGGACGGCAACGACCATCGTGAATAAGTTACTAGATGTGATATATCGCCGCTCACTATCCACTGACTTGCACGTTACTGCCATGCAGAAGACAAGGTAGCCCCCTTACCCAATTGACTTATGCCAATTGACTTAAGTCATTATAAGCAGTTGCAGTGAAGGGGGTTACCCGTCCTCTGCATGGCAGTAATGTGCAAGTCAGTGGATAGTGAGCGGCGCTATATCACATTTAGTAACTTATTTACGATGGTCGTTGCCGTCCTCCGTAGCTCAGTGGTCTCATTCACGGACTGGCAAAAGTCGAGTCGCGGGTTCCAGTCCTACCAGGAGTCCAATAGAATGCGCACTGCTGTCGATTCCCGAAAGGATGAAACGCGCGTACAATGCTTTCCCGGGTGTGTGATGGCTGTCTGAGTGTGTCTAGATGTGACGAACTCCTACCTTATGCCATTCTACGTTAGACTATCGACATCATCTTTAGGTGGACGTTAGTAAGTAGATAGCGAGGTTGACCAACGAATCCTGTTTATGGTCTTCTAACTTAAGTTCTGACAAACTTTCGTTTTTATGCTTCGTTTGTAAACAACTGTGGAGCGGCTGATGATTTGACTTTTAATCTAGCAGAATGCTACCTTTGAGCTCACCTCTACTTCCTCAACCCAACTTCGGCCCGTTGATAAGACCACCTAATCACACCTCGACTTGACCTGAGCTCCAACATGGCCCCGCTCTATTCGGGCACTGAACGTATGGACGAGGAACTACTGTCGTCGATCTCTCTACCCTCTTACTTTGAACTGTTGCTTTTTCCTGTTCTATTGTCGCCACGACCATACCTTCTTCTTTTCTTATTGTGTATCATCGAATCTCCGGTTCAACAAAGGTATATTGTCTTTGTAGTTATTGATTTGACGAGTCTCGGCATATGCCACATCAGTCGATGGTGAGGTCACATTTAGGTATCTGGCCCCGGTCGCCAATCATGCACTTCTGCGGTCATAGCCCTCCATATTGTTGACTTTCCTATCTGAGCAGTAAGAATCCCGTTGGATGATTGGAAATCAGTGCAAGAGGACATATTTTCAATAACTCCTCCTCAAACCTGTGCAGTTTTGTGTTGAAACACGAAATTGATGGATACACCCTAAGGATCGATAAAACTTCCACAACTGCAGCATCTATGCAATTCTGCTCACTGGGTTTCACAGTCGTGTGTTCAGATAGGGTTCACACACGTAAAGCTTGCCTTGATCCGATCGGACTGCGGCATCCAGCCCGCGGAACTGCGTACACGCCGCAGCTGTGACCTAATGGATAGTATTTATCAATAATCTTTGCCTGTGAACTGAAAGTATTTTACTGACTTTTATGGTATACCTACTAGTATTGTCTTTTCACATAAAATTGCACAAGCCTGAAGACAAATTGTTGAGAACACACGTTCAATTTCACTGATTTTTATTCATTTTCCATTGTTGTTGTTGTTGTTTCCCTCTGTTTTGCTCTCCTTTCCACATCATTACTCATTAGCAAAGAACCGTCAACTTGTGCATCCACACTGTACAATTTCATTCTTGAACTTTCATCAGCGCATTTACATCAACTGCCGCTGATTCATAAAATGTAACCTATGAGGTATAACTAAAGAGTTTATTTTCACATAATTAAGTGATTTAAGACATTTTCTCGTTTCCTTCACTTGGTGCTTATAATTTCAAACCCCATTGCCTTTTTCACTTTGTTATTATTCCGTTGTCGGCTGTCACTGTTGATGAGATCGAATTTCCTAGGGATTTTCGAATTATCTTCACATAATCTTACTGGTGATTGCCCACCAAGTTATTTTCTCCATTACCGCTGTGCAAACTTTCGCGTTTTCATCTCTCATCTTTACTTTATCCCGCTTTGTACTGCAGCAAAGCCTCTTTCTCGGCCACTGTCTTAACCGGCGGTGGTGGTTCTGCTGGTCCGACTACGAAAGCACAAGATCTAGAAAAGTTTCAAGCTCAAGGGGCCACGATCGTTGTAGCCACTCCAGGTCGTCTCGTGGATATACTATCCTATGGTCCATCTCCTAATTCAAACCCTTTCGTTCGTGGCTTGCGTAGTTTGGTGAGTCTTACTGACTCTTGTTTGTATTTATGCATAGCTTTTAATCTCTAATCCTTATCCGCTTGTTATCAGTTTCGGATAGCTATATCATAGCACTACATCATTGGATGTACTAGTTTCATTAGTGTTCACTTGAAACTTTTCACTTATTGGTTACATCGCATTTCCCATCCCATTGCCACTGACTGCTTCAAATGGAGATTTGTCACATCTAGACTCATTTATCTAACCAATGCACTTCACTTACAGCGCTGAACGGTCATTTCGTCTTATTGGAGTCCATCTCACGGGTTTCGTACCTATAAACTTCATATTTCGAGTCAGCGCGATGACGGCAATAGACGCAGTACCACTCACTCTCCACCCCCCTGCAGATTATCGCTGTACATAGAAAAAGATGGGTCTCATGAACTCACTAAACCGCTTATCGTCCTATGACTTTGTGCGTCAATTTGTAACCACTAGAAGTTCATCACAACTAGACTCAGTCGGACTGCCATGATACGCCCGGAAAAGCACTGTATAGCTGTGACATCTTTCGGGCATCGTCAGCAGTGCGCCTTCCATCCAATCCTCTGGGGTTAGAACCCGCAACCCAACTGTTATCAGTCCGTGGTGGGGACCACTGGGCTAAGAGGGACGGTAACAACCGACGCGACTAAGTTACTGGATGTGAGACCGCGCCACTCACTGTCCACTGACTTGCACGTTACTACTGTGCAGAGGACAGGGTAGCCCCGTCTTCTTATAATGTCATAAGTTAACTGGCGTCTTAAGTTTAGTAAGTTCATCGCTTGGTGAGGGGCCACTCTTTCCTTTGCACGATAGTAAAATACAAGTTAATTGAAAGTGAGCGGTGCTGTATCCATATGGTAACTCAGTCACGTCGGCCGTTCCCATCCCCCTTAGCCCAGTGGTCTTCATCACAGATTAACAGTCGATACCAGATGGAGAGCGCACTGCTGACGATTTCCGAAAGAATTCAACAGCTGTACAGTGCATTCCTGGACTTATGGTAGTTGCCTGACAGCTTAGTTGTGATGATGCTCTGCTACTCCCTTGTACATACTTAAATTACTAATTGTATATAAGTAGTCGGATTTTGAGGAATTTCGATGTCTTTCTAAAGCAGGTTTCATCGGTCACCGTTTGTTCAGGTAAGCGCTGGACAGCCATTTCGTTTCGAAGCGCCCCTATAGGACGATTCGGCCGAACCTGTCCATAGTGCGGCCTGTTGATATCCGTCAACATTTCCCCTCCTTTTTATGGCTTTCGTCTGCCAACAGCCATTGCTCATATATAACTGGTCCACTGGTTGCACGGATAGCGTCAGATGTTGTAGTCATACAAGACTCAGAGTAGTTTTCAAGCCGCCTGTTTTTCGGCACCAGTTCAAATATCACAGACACTATGTCTACCGGATTTTCGCTTCACGCCGATTGTTATGAATCTCGCATCATTGATTCCCCCAGTGACGGACTCAGAATCTCCTCTCCTCCAATTCCTTGAAATGAAGTCATGTTCAACAAGTTATCAAAATGTGCTTTCCGCATCTTCACCCTGACTTTGTTCATGCATGAATCTTCGAATACTTTTGTCGTAACCAAACTCCGTGAAACAGCGTCACTTTCACTGCAGAGGCGGGGTTAAAACGCTGCTATTCTTGCACACACGCACACACATCTCTCCTAGAGCAGATAACATTCTCCCGACAGTACTGCAGGTTACAGCCCCGCACCTAGTCGCACTACTCGGCGGATTTTTTTCCATGCGCTTTATATATATATATATATATATATATATATATATATATGGTTGGCGGCATCTGGTTTCCGATTTGCGCGCCACTGTGGCCAGCCACAGAACGCCTGCGCCTACAGAGTTACCATGGGTGACTTGCGCTGCACCACCCACAGCTCCATCCACACACCCCTTCTCCAATGTAAACCCGAAGGAATAAGACCGGGAGGTATGTGGATGGGAGCCACGTTCCATCAACGGAGCTGGCCCACACTCTTTCTCAGGCAAACACAAGCACGCTGTATTTGAGGAATCAAGAGCACACAAGACGTTGGTTGGACCGTAGTCCGCTCCACACGAAGGGCATTGAACCATTCTTCGAACCTAACACGGCCACAAGGACCGTGCACCCGTCCCATCCAGCAACGACCAACTGTCTCCTGGAGCCAGTATGGACGAGTTAGTGGGTAATAGACAGGTAGGCACCTTGACAACATGCACATCAAGCGCAGCCACACCGGGAATATCAAGCAACAGCCAATCACTTGAGAGGCAGATAACAAGGGAAATAAATCCAGTAATTCGTAAGGAAACGGTGACATAAATCTTAAATTAATGAGCATATGAAATAAATTGTTTACGAACGAATCCGAGATACGTTCACGTGGTCGGAAAGCATATTTTGCGGAAATGCCACAAACACGAAAATGTTATCGAAATGAACTACAATTGGCTTAAGCGACGTGTGCAAGTTTATGGAAGAGAGTATAGGTAGGCATTTATATGGGAAAGAAGAGCATTAGGACAAAATTGAAAACCTACCACCTGAAATACATTTACTTAGCATGCAAGCAGGTGGTTAGTAAATCGTACACAGTGTGCCTACAAACGCTGCGTCGTTTGTGCCTACGTTCTCTGTAGGACCCGTCGTCGCTTCGGTAGTGGTCCCTAGTGGCGTCGCTCATGGCTCACTAGGCCTGCCTGACTCAGGCACTCGCGACCGCATGTGCTACAACACCATGCGCTCGATGTCGATGGAGTACAACCCATCGGTGCTTGTCGCTTCCGCGCTTGCCGCTTCTTCTCTGCATGTATGAGGTCTTTCTCCCTCACTTCGGCTACTGCCTTCGTGATCAGATCGCGCCATGCATGCCGATCAACCGCCTTCGATTCCCATGATCTGCAATCGAGATTAGAACGTGTGAGGCTCACTTTGATCATGTCCTGGTAACGAGGCTTTGGTTTCTTTACGTGTCGCTTCCCAATATTCAATTGACCATGGAGGAGTTGTTTCGTTATCCGCGTCGAACCCATACGGCTCAAAGGACCGAGCCATCTCAGATGTCTCAGCAAAAGTATGCAGTCCACTGCATACATCCCACGTTGTCGTAACACTTCCGTGTCAGCAACTCTGTCGCCCCAACTGATGCGCAAAATTCGTCGCAAACACTGCTGATGGACAGACAGTTTTGCTTATGTTGATGGTGAGACCGAATGTGGCCGCTGTCGAAGCCAGAGCACTAGTCATGTACTGCAACTCATCCGCGCTGTTTGAGAACAACGCACAGTCGTCAGCAAACAGCAACATACGGATAGTTGTCACGCGCAGTAGGGGTCTCGCATCGAAACGATGGATATTCAGCAACCCACCATCCATACGGTGCTCCACACGAACACCATAAGCTCAAGCTGGGTCAAAAGCACAAGACATCATTGCATGAAGATATATATTAAACAGGGCAGGAGCTAAGACACAGCCTTGCTTCGCACGAGAGACAATTGCAAAGTCATCCAAGGTTTATCCACTCAGCTGCACCCTCGCTCGGATACCACTGTACAAACATTCAATGAAACTTACAAACTTACGCGGGCAACCAAACTTACCCAACACCAGCCACAATGCCTCGCGGTTCATCGTATCAAATGCCTTGGTGAAATCAACAAAAAGCGAGTACAATGGCAGGTGTCGTTCTCTGCACTTTTCTTGCAACTGACGAGCCGCAAACACCATATCTATAGTGCTGCGATCCGAACGGAATCCACACTGCTCTTCCGCCACGTTAGGTTCCACAACCTGACTGACGAGGCGGTTGAGCAGGATTCGGGGAATCACCTTGCCCTCACAACTCAGCAAGTTGATGCCACGATAATTCGTGCAACATTGCTTGCTCCATTTGCCCTTGTACAGTGGTAGCACAAGGGCATCCTTCAGCTCCGGAGGTACCTCCTCCTTAATCCCTATGCGTTGCACCAAGTGGTGTAGCGCAGTCAGCAACGCGGGTCCGCCGTGTTTCAATACTTCAGGCGGGATCCCGTTGGCCTCAGCAGACTTGCCGTTTCACAGCTGAGCAAGTGCTCTCTGCGTCTCATCCAGTGTCGGCGTGTCCGCCAGACTCGCCTTCACATCGTGCTGCTTGAGGCCGTTCAATGTAGGCCAGTCGATCTCTGAACGGTTGTTCAAGAGACAGTCAAAGTGTTTTCGCCAGATCTGCATTATGTCTGTAGTTTGTGTGCAGGTAGCGCCTGAACTGCCATCGAGCAGCGTCCTCAGCGGCTCCAACCTCGGTCCATACACTGCCTTCAAGGAGTCAAAGAATTCCTTGTGTTGGCGGCGTTCGGCGTAGCATTCCATCTGCTTCGCGTTCTCCGTCCACCATGCATTTTTAATGCGACGGAGCTCTCGGGTCAGTCGCCGTCGAAGTTTTGCGAAACGGACTACTCTTCCCCAAGTGAAAACCGAGTGTTCGTGACTGTCAGGCCGTGAGTGGCACACAATGAGAGCAGCCTGTTAGCGTTTGCATTCGCTGAAGCAATGCCATGCGAACCGATAACATCTTTCCACACCGATGAATCACGGCCAACGCGCGCGTTGAAATCACCCAGCAGAAATAGTCGGTCACTTCTCGGCACAGATCGTATCATGGAGGATGGTTGAGTGTAAAATTGATCACGCGTCATCTGGATAACACGTGGTCGGCTCATCTTGAACTGCCATGCACGATGCTGTGGCTCAGAGGATTGGACTGTCTGCCAAATGCTCGACTTCCATCGGAAAGCCGGCATCATCCATCTTGTGAGCCAACACTAAGTATTGGAGAGCAGTTAGGGGATTTCTTGTTTTTCGAGAAAATCTCAGGCGGCTACAGTATATTGCAACTTGCCTTCAGTGCTAGCAATCCTCCACCATCACCCATGGCTCAGTGGCTTAGATCGCCGTCTCCGTAATAGTAAGATCATGTACTCGGATTCAGCAAGACCCATTGGATTTGCCCTGCAAACGAGTCTCAGTAAGACGGTGCCGTTGTCTACTGCTTTTCCAAATGTTTGGGAACTGTTTTCTTGCGTCTGTTCGAGACGAACTTTCTCAAAAAATACCACAAATACACCTACACTCATATGTCCTAGCTGCCAAGTTGTAGCGTTCAATTTCTCTTTAATCTCGTCTCCTGGACACATTCTAGCCGCTGCTTCTTCGCCCTAACGGTATCCACACGACTTGGCGAGCATGGCGTTGATGTTTTTTTTTATGGGCTTGGGACCCCTCATTAAGCGCTTCAAGCCGCATCGCCCGTTGGTTCGCCCCAATAATGAAGTCGATCACCGCTGCACCTCCTTGCTCACCTTATCTCTTAACCAGACCATGCTCCCTGTTTTTGCTTTGCCAGGAACTTCTGATTCTAGACGAAGCGGATCGTCTATTGGAAATGGGCTTCGAAACACAGTGAGTTTACGTTCCCTGCGTTCGGCACAGCCCACTTAAGTGAATTACCTGAATCAATTATTTCATGTAGCCTAATGTGAAACTGTCTGTTATCCTTCTTGCTTCACTTAAATTTCATGGTTAAAAACAAAAACTGCAGCGTTTGCTTTCAGTGTTCTACTGGTCGCGTTTCCACTTTTTCACATCCTACTTCGATAATGAGTTCCTCATACGTATTGCTATCCGTTTCAATCCTACTCTCACTACTCATTTTTATTCCGGTAATCCCCGGTGCATCCTATTTCCAGTTTGGCTACTTATTCTTTAAAATATGCAAGAGAGCATTAAGGAGGTGAAGTCGGTAAAAACCGGATTCATCACAACTTCACCCAGTCACATCACACCCCCGGAATGGCACTACAGCTGTAACATCCTTTCGGGAATCGTTAGAAGCACACATTCCATCTAACTCCTCTGGACTAGAACCGGCAACCCGACTGTTGCCAGTTTTTGGTAGGGATCACTGAGCTAAGGGAGTCAGTAACGACCGACGTGACTAAGTTACGGGATATGATGTAGCGCCGCTCACTATCCACTGACTTAAATGTTGCTACCGTGTAGAGGACAGTGTAGCCCTTGAACAACAACTTCCTAAGCCACCAATTAACTCATGGCATCATCAGCAGTCTGCGCTGGTGACTGTGAGCCAAGCAGTTATGTTCACTATTCTCGTTATGATTGCGGCCGAGATATTTCCGTTGTCGCTATTTTGATTTTTTCAACACTCAGGCACTGTGTTTCTACTTTCTTGTTCCTAGGATCAACATCATACTCTCTTTTCTGCCAAAACAACGCCGAACTGGGCTGTTTTCCGCTACACAAACAACTCAAGTGGAGGACCTGTTACGTGCGGGTCTCCGAAATCCAGTGTCTTTGACAGTTAAGGAACAAATCTCCAAATACAATTCGAGCGACTCTGTCTGTCAGCGCACTCCTACGGGCTTGCAAAACTTCTATTTAGTAAGGACTTTTAAAACTTCTTTTCGTATCTTTTTCACCTGTGCCTCATCTCTATCCAACGTGTTGAATGTTGACGCTAATTTCTACATTTTCCAAATCATAATCTTTGCATACGAATCGACTATTTGTCATTACTAACAGTATTTATGTTATTTCCCGTTGAGTTCAACGGCTGGTATAAAAACACCCGAGCAGATATTCGCTTACAACTAGCCTACCCACTACATGTCATTACTTACAATACAAAATCCTGTGTCTGCGCAGTCTAGTAACCCCTCCCTTTTATTATCTACTCCTGATGATACAAACATCCGTATATTTTACATATTTGGTGCACGGGTCTAGGACCCGAGGAAAAAAGTCATGATCCGAAATTCTATTAATAAACTTTACTACTATGACTTACCCCGCATAAACCATGAAACCTATTCACTATACAAATGATCGCTCCCACTTATGGGGCCGTGTCCCGTCTATCGGTAAATATGCAAATTTATTTATAACTATCGCAAATTTCGGTCCTTCGGGGACCAACGGTTTATTCGGCAAAGCGAGCTCAGCAAAAATGACAGCCTGACAAACATGTATGATATCGATATAAGTAACTAATTCATTTCCATAACTAACGACGCTACTGCACTCATATGAATCATTTTGAATCATTTAAACAAACCCGCTCCAGCAATTCAATCAACGCGTAGACGAAATATGTGTGTAGCTATCCAGTCTACTGCTCTGTTCGCATTCGGCACGCTTGCCGCTTGCTTGCACAATCCTATCACAATCACCGTAGTCAAAACATGAGGCACTTCTCGTCTCAGTGGTGGATACTGGTTGAGCCGCATTTCATGCCAATGGGAATCTGATTTCCGATTCCGGTCAGAAACGGATTATCACTATTGTACTCGTCCAAATCCTGTCTCCATTTCCTGCCTAAAGTTTGTTTTTTAAGTCCTTCCTTGTCTTACCCGAACCCAGACGTTTATATCCGTTAGCTGACCTTCTCATTCGAAAGTTTCCGTTTTTCAGATTCGGTTATGTAATCCAATTGACCATATGTATTCCTCTATCGGCATACCATCGCGGCATTTACACCATTTTTGCTCACCTTCGATTTGTTTATTCATTTCTCATTTGACCGTTATTCTTGATTTAATGCCCGCCCATCTTTGTATTTAACAAACTCCGATATTGCAGCTGTTACTGACAAGCTGTGGATATGCAAGCAACTTTAGGCGCATCGTAGTTCGGCACTGCGTTTGCGATTGCTTCATCCACTGCGACGAAACTGAGTCGTAGCTTGGTGCAACTGTTTACGTATCTCCTCTACCTTTTACGCCATACTGCGTAGTGCCCCCAGCCACCTTGAGAGCTACCCGGACCAGCTTGATATATGGATGACAGCCAAATTAACTCGACATGTTGGTTCTCCAGCTTGGGGATTAGAACCATACTTGTGCCTATTTCACTGAAGCTGTACCATTCTGTGGACTCTCACAAACTTCCCATTGCCTCACGGCCGGGATGTTGAGCCGGATCTCGGTGGAGGATCCCAATCGTTTTTCTGCTTAGATTTGAGCGCGACGTCATTTTCCAACCAACGAACAACCGTGACTATATTTCCGAATTTCAACCTCACTTATTCCCAGCCGTCGTTGTTTTAGTGGCCATTTTGCTGAGTCCAATGGAGCGGATAAGCGGAAGCAGGCAACTTATGCCGTTTCCCACTATCTTTGCGGAAAATGCACCTATATGACTGTATATAGCTTAATTTGACTTGACCTGACTCCTCCTGATTTTCAATCGTAAACTTCGGAGTACCGCTCCATTTCTCTTTCTCTGTTTTACCAGCGTGTTTTCCTTTGTGTCTCACTAACAGCTGCCACGAAAACGCCAAACATTGAAGACTAGCTCAGCGTTTATCCCATGGCAGTTACCCAACCCAGCGAGCCAAAGGCAAATAGTCAACTCTCAACGCTTAGACCCGTAACGACGAGGTATCACCGCATCCTTTACTTATGTCAGCACTATCTATGAACACTCGCATCTGTAACTATGACGTACAGTAACCCACGTAGCAGCGTGATCTGCACGTACTTGAGAACTGTCTGTCCCGGTTGGCGAGTCTTTAAGGAACTAAATTCCGTTTCCTGTCCAGGAAATTTGATTGTAAAATGACACATTGTCTTCGAACATCAAGCATATGAACAATCGAACCAACGCGTTTTCGGATATCCGTTATTGGGCTAATATGTCATGAATCAATCACAGTCGTGCCACCTGATTGATCCCGAAGCGGTCAAGGACATGTGGTCTAGCTATTCCCATCGTCACTTGCTGTAATGGGGAACCAGGGAGGGCTGAAAGCTTGGGCAAGCTCCTCTTACACTCTAAGCTCTGTGCCGGAGTCCATTAGCCGACTCTACAGGCACAACCGGTAAACGACCACTACCGCTCATCCATTGTATTCGCTCGTGCTGTAGCGGGAATGAATTATCTCATAAGCTCTACTCTGTGGTTAGGCTTTACTAAATGTGCAAGCACGGCGCTTACCACTATTTTACCTGCTCCGCTGTACACCCAACCTGAGTAATATTCATGAAGTATTTCACACTTATTTTCCGGAATTTTTTAATTGGCACACACAGAATAGGGGTATTTTCGTCACAAGCTTATACGCTGGACAACGGTTCTGTCCAATTAGAAATCATCAGCAACTCGTGCTCCCCACGTATTCTTCGGGTTTTGAATTGTCCAACCTGTAATCAGGGGCTGATGTCATTTGGTTATTGGTGACTGAGCGGTCTACATGATTATCTTGTTGATTGTGATGTGCATCCTTCCTCCTTGTAATTTAAAAAAATTTGCCCGGTAGACTGGAGAAACGTGTCTCGCTCTGATATCGAATTTATCAGCAAAACCGACAGTGTGAAACGACACTATTTATTAAACTAAGGTCATACACACCTCAACAATGGGGCTTCCAACTCAACCAAACGGCGGTCCGCGTCCCTCCTTCGGTCCATTGCACAGTCAGCAAGCAAAGTAAACGGGCGATGTATGATACGGCAGAATGGCTCATGGGCGATTGGTTAACTACAATCGTAGCTTGATATGGTAGCACGTGAGCGACGCAGTGGATTAGAGTGGGCCTACAGGGTACAGCCCAGTGCGATAAATTGTAAATAACTGGTACAACCCATATGACCAACTGCGCAATAGCCGCTTAGATCATAGGTCAATATCTTGGTTTATGTGTCGAGTGAACGTAGGACAGGCGTAGGTCATTACCTATGTTTAAAGTACAGGGTTAAAAATAAAGCAACGGTTGTTTGCGCGTAGAACGTCGTCACCTGATGCGACGTAATTTGATCACATCTGCTCACAATGGAATGATTGATCATTAGAGGCAATGACCATAAAGTGCCCGCATGGGAATAGGCAAGGATCACAGCGAGCACAACGTACTGACAAGGTGCCGGAATCACAATTCTTCCACATTCTCACTCATTTTTAAATCACGCGCTACCTTGCGTCACTACAATCTGCTCGTACAACTACTAACGTTAGTTACAGCCTGAATATCGGAACTCCCATCGCAATACTGTCTGGGGGAACTTGTGAGTGCTAGCCTGTTCGCATACCGGTAATTAAAAGTGAGAAAGGCCAAACGAGGCTAAGGACGTTTCCTTGTGGAGTTGCGAGGTAGAGAAAGGATCTTTTTCCACTCCATTCGATCTGAGGTAATAAACATTGCCTCACAGGTTACTACTGCTGAATTGCTTAATGTTGACTTGGACTAAAGATAGGCCCTACTGCGCCAGTTACCAGTAGAATGGAAGTGCCAAGCTGCGAAACAACAACCAGTCATCAGCAGGCCGTACTGACTCCCCCAAAGGAAACGAACGCTTCGGAACCACAGTTGTATGCGCACGAGGAATGGACGCATAAGCAATGCATACCACACAACCACTAGACACAGGAAGAAACCCTCTGCGTGCAACCTCCAACAAAGCGTGCGAAAATGAGTGGATGTTTCGTTGGTCACAACCGATGCATCTAGTATACGCTATGTTAAATAATCAACACTTCCGTTTGCACCCAGGTTCTTACATTGATGTCGTTACCAAATAATGTACATCGTGAAACCCCCCGGGCTGGGACCGTCTGAAGAGGGGGATGTGAAGATCTTCTTGGAGGGCTTGGAGGATGTGGCGATGACGGTTGGAATGAAGACCGATCGGGCTAAGCTGATGGCCCTACGGAGTCTCTTTAAGGGCAGGGCGAAGGCAGTCCTGGAGGTGGCTGGAAGCGCCCTTGTCAAGTTGTTGAGGGGCCTTGCAGGATGCGTTGGTGTCCGCATTGGACAGCCCGGCCGACCGCCAGGTGATGTGACGGTTCAAAGCGATACGGCGTAGTGTACGGGCGGATCCCCTCCTGTTTGCAGCTCACATCAGTAGTTTGTTGGACCGGGCATTGCCGGGATTGGACGCTGTGGCAAAACAGATTGCTGGCGGATCAGTTCATAGCCGGTCTCCCATAGCCAATCGCCGAACACGTCCGGATTGCGAACACTGCTCGGTGAATGCGGCTATAGGAGTTAGCGCAGGTTACTCGAGAGCTGAGCGATGCGCTACTCGCTGCGCTGAAGGAGAAACATCATGGAGGCGTGGAGCAGTTGGATACATTGAAACGGATGATGGAACAGCTCGTGCAAGATGTCAGTGGGCTTCGCACTCAGCGTTCGGAGGAGCGAACAAGGGATATTGCTTCCTTTGCGAGAAACCAGGACAGTGGAAAAGACAGTATCCGGTACGGCGCGTTGCTACCCGTGCACCAAATGTAATCAACCTCGTTTTTCTTCTCGGATCGAGGAATGTGTAATCGGGGCGCTGAGTAGGGCAGCGATGGAAGCGATGGTGAAAGCAGACAGAACGATGTAACGATGTCTGATCCACACGGGTGCCGCAATGTCGCTGATCAATCATCGGGTCAAAAAG